AATTTAGAATACAGTGTGTGATTGGTTAACTAACAAATTGGATAATAAACACTTTCGCAAAAGATTTTTATGATTGGACAATGAACACTTCACTGAACAAACATAAAAAGAAGTGACAGAAATAGCAAATACCGATTGATTTTCCTTTGATTTGTCTTCAGGTAACTTTTTGGAGCGCAGGAGACGTCAACGTCAACACTCAACCCGATATATACTGATCAGATAGTATTCCTCGAATTTTGAAATAGTCCCTTGTAATTCCAGCCTTTTATTTTTCTGACAAACAATTCTTTTATAGTATTCGCAAGACTGTCGGGTGGGCACTCATTAAGTTTTGTGTCGGTTTTTATTTTCAAAAGGTGAGAGTATAATAGCAAAGGTAGAGAGTGGGCAGAAGATGTCTGATGTTGCTGGGCAGTATGGCTTGAACAAATCTACAGTAGGGTGCAGTTCAATCTTATCTAAGAAAGATACTGTATAATTAAGAAAACTCGAGCAGCTAAAGGAGTAACAAATATCACATCTGAGAAATAAAGAACATTGAAGAGCTTGTAATGGAACCTGGAACAAATCTGACGACAGAAGAACGCCAAGAACTCTTGAATGAAGAACACCAAGAAACTTGACGAGATATGTTTTATTATGAAAAAGAGGATTAATGCCGATATATCTGCTATTAACTAAAGATCTTTTGAAGAAGTGGGGGATGTCAGATCAACAGTCTTAGAATGGCATCCAAACCAGGTTGAGGCTTGGGGATTTCTACAATTGCAATGCTATTAATTCTGAAAATCCTGAAGAGAGAAAAGCAATCAACATTAGACAGATTATTTAACCCCCACAAACAAACAAAACATGAGTAATAAAAATGCAAGTCTGTGTGTATATGTGTTTTTATTATTACATATAAATAAATGTAGTAAGAAAGTATATATTTTTTATTTTTGGGGTCTCCAGAATGAATTAATCAAATTCCCATACAAGCCTATGGTAAATTGATAATCAGTTAACGAACAATTTGGATAGCGAACAAAGTCTTGGAATGGATTATGTTCATTAACCGATCACCCACTGTATTTACAAAATAAATAAATCTTTTCATTATTATTTCATGAATTTATATTCTTATTGGTTGTGAAGTTAAAATATTATAATAATTATAACTGTTCTTGCAGTTGATTGGTCAATATGTGTTAGTAATAATCAATAAATGTATATCTGTTATGAAATGTGGAATGTTTGTTTTTCTATATTATTGATTGTGTACTGTATTTTTTGCATAAAATCTGCAAGTTGTATGTTTTAAGAGAGACTTTAAAAGGGGTATTGGATTTTCCCTGATTTTAAATCACAAATTATAGCCTCAAGTCTATTTAGCAGTGGTTGTTCGATAGGTGTAGGGTATATGAAGGGGGAAGTTATGCCATTTTATTTTTATTCTAGCAACTTTTTTCAGGTTATACTTACAGAAATATGGTACGTTATTAAAAATCCATTGTTACAGTACTTTAATAAATATTAATGATAGAATAAAAATTTCACTATAAAAAGTAATAATTGTTATAATTCTTACACTAAATTTTTTTAATATATTCAGAATTTTCATAAAATAACCTTTTAAAAAAATGTTTTTCCTTTTTTTGTTTTTTCACAGATGAAGAAACAGCAGTATCAGGAAATTCCCATTTAATGAATGCTACCACTGCCAATACACACACAAATGAACCTGATGCCTTGGAAAGTTCCAAGAAACAGGAAGATGATAGTCCAAGGAAAGAAAAATCTGTACTTCAAGCCAAGCTTACCAGGCTGGCAATTCAGATTGGCTATGCAGGTAAATTCATTTGAATTTCATAATTGGTTAAAGATAGTGAATTAAATTTTATATGACATATAAAATAAAATGTATGGTAGAGAGGTCAATACAAG